GACGACTGAAAATTTTTTGACCTTTTCAAAAAATCAGAAGGGCCACAGGCCCACAATGGATCTATGCTCACAACATAAATTCGGAACACCTACAACTATAATTATTCATTAATTAGATCATCTGTAATTTCAACTCAAATTTAAATTAATAATTGACAAAAAATTTTAATTTGATTCAAAATACTTAAATAGACAAATTCAAAATTAAAAGAAGATAAAATTAAAAAAGTGAAATACGACCATTATATCTTTTAAAAGAGTAAAATTTGACATTAAAAATTTCAATAAAAATTTAAGTTTCTTTTGAATTTGAGTAAAATATTGGGAGTTATTTTTACTTAAATTTAAATTTAAATAGGAATTTGAGAATAGAAGGGAGGTTGGCTTAAAAATCTGAATTTAAGTCATCAAGAAGGGAATCTCGTCCACATATCCTATGTATATATGGGAGTGTCCGTGGGTCAGGTTGGCCCACCAGATCTGTTTCTCAGCCCAAAATTTGATAGTTGACCAGTTCGAATTCTATCCTAATATCCTTCAAGAAGAGGCCTGGACCTGTGTCCAAGCCCATTATCCAGTCTACAAATCAGGCCCATTAGCCCACTCGTAAAAATCCATTAATTCCCAGCCCAAAAACCTACCCGCCCAGCTTACCTCAACCGCCTAACCCGTTCGTCCACCCACTTTGTTTGATAAATAATTAACCATTGAAAGTTAAAGTGGTATATTCCTCTCATTTTTTTGGGTGAGGCTATTCACACCCCAAAAATATTCATTCTCACCTAATTTAATTTTTTATCATCAAACTATTAAGGGTGTGTTTGTTAACTCAAATTTANTATATACAGTCAATTCAGTGATCCCCGGTAAAGATTGAACAACATTCCCAATCATCAAAGCCAAGGCCGTTTCTCTCTTCTTCCTCAATTCACCAACCATGGAAGCCCTAACTTCAACCATCGTCTCTTCTCCTTCTTCCCTCCCCATCTTCTCTCCCAAATCCAAAGATCCTTCGTCAAGAAGACTCCTCCGATTCTCCACCTCTCCCAAAAGTAAGCTCTCTTTTCATTTCCATTTTTATTCTCAATCTTTTGATCCGTTCCTAATTCTAACACCTCTTCTTTGGATTCAGATAACGGTAACGAATCCGATCTCCGGTCCGACTCAAATGGTTCAAGCATCGTACCGAGCCACAGCAATCGCACTCTCTCTCAGGTATTTGAATCAAACAATTTATTCCCTAAGCCTTTCTTCGTAGAGGACGAAATGGTGACCTAGGGTTTTTTTGATATTAAGCTTTTTTGGGAATTTTCAGGATGCCGCGATGGGCTTGGTTCTGAGTGCTGCGAACGTGAGGGGTTGGACTACAGGTTCAGGCATGGAAGGCCCTTCAGTCCCCGCCGGTGCTGAGTCGGGGTCAATTGCAGAACAGACGTCCACCTTCCCCTGGTCTCTCTTCACCAAATCACCTCGTCGCCGTATGCGCGTGGCCTTCACTTGCAACGTATGTGGTCAAAGAACCACTCGCGCCATCAATCCCCATGCCTACACCGATGGCACTGTTTTCGTCCAGGTATATGTACCCGCATATGTAGAATGTCTCTTCTGCACTGCTTTCTTTCAGATATTGGTTATAATTTGTTTGTTCTTTTGTATTTTTTTTAATTGTAGTGTTGTGGATGCAATATATTTCATAAGCTGGTGGATAATTTAAACTTGTTTCATGAGATGAAATGCTATGTGAATCCCAGCTTCAATCCGAAAGGTGGTGACATTCGCTTCAAGTATCTTGACATGGATGATGACAACAATGATATTTTCCCCCTCTTATGAGGTGAAACGATTATTGAAAAGAATTTCTGAGTGCAGTGTACATTCTATTGCTCACACCTACAGTACCATTTCTAATTGTGTACATGTAAATAGGTTTGCAACAATTGATGTATTTTTATATTGAAGTCATTTTGATGTGGAACGTTTAAATATTTTTGTGCTTTAGTCTATTTGTATAAGAAGTTGATTACATCTCTGTTGGTGTGCATTTTGTGGTGATGTTCTATGTTGTGTAGGATTCTGTGTAATGTTGTTGATGAACTGCTGTCTGGTGTGTGACTTGTCTAGTTGCAATTTTAGGTGTGAATCTGATTGTAGTGCACCCCAGAGACCAGTTTTGCAATTTGTCTATCTACTACTGACTTTGTACATGATAATGATTGCTTAGCAATTAGAGAAAATGGAATAGTTCTTGTCGAAACAAAATCATCGTCGGAATTGGTGGAATGCTCTTCAACATGTGTTGGGCCTGGTTTATAATAGTTCTTCAGTCACAAACACAACATCCCTCTTCCTATGGCTGGCACTCCCTTCTTCTTCTCCATTCAAAATGTTTTGGCAACTATTTGGTTATAGAAATCTGAATAGGTCTATATCGATCAGATAAAATTCCTTGGGTTGATCATTGTCTATTGTTTTATTCAGTTGAAGTAATTGCATTGGGGCAAGATTGCAATATCCCACATTTCTTGGTATCTAAAGGCTGTTAATTACTGGCCAAAAAAAGCAGTCAGTTGTAAAGGTTGTTTTTGGTATTTTTTCCTTCAGTTTAAGTTTCTTACAGTATGAGAAGTCTCCCTTTTTCTCTCCCACCATACTCTCTCTCTCTCTCCACAGAGTTGTGCTCAGTAAGGCACTATTTTGAGCATAATTCAAATCTTTCGTTACTGCTTCTATTCACTACCATTTACAAGTGCCAGCTTTGTTGCAAATAATTCTGTGCGTGGCTGATGTGTATTGGGGGTTTCGGGTTCCATAATGACCAATGAAATCCATGTCTTCTTTCACCATCTTATAGAGTGCACTCAAAATAACCTTTTAGGCTTTTACCTTTTCTTTTGTTTGATTTTCTGATCTCAGAAAAATCCTATGGTTGGGCTGTGGGGTTATGGTTTCTGAGTGAGCATCCCCTAGTGTGTACGTGTGTGTGCCTGCTTGATTTGATTGCAGGCACAATTACGTAATGTAATACTCTCTCTTGAAATTACAACCCAAAAGATGATGAAACCCATTGTATTCCCAATAAAGTAATGTACAAGACTGTACGATGAGCTACAAATTTGCATTCGAATCTTTAGATAATCCGCGACCTAAAAAAAAAAAAAAAACTTAGATAATCTTTTTTGCATGCGTGTAAAGCCCAGTAGTGCAAGTGCCTACTTGAGACTACCTACCGTCAGTCTGTACCTCTAAGCTCAACAATGGATAGTTGCATATACACCAGATAGAGCTTTTACTTGTTAGTTTACTATCAGTTTGTCCTCTTGTTAAGCATGAGCAATTTGGTGCTATACCCCTTATTCTAGAATGGCTGCACAATGGCACGAATGGGTTGTGAAGATTCATCATACAGGAGTTAATGTGGTGCTATACCTCTTTACTATGTTTTTCAGTAGTTAATCTGAGCTCTAAATTGCAGTTATGGAGCCTTTTATGAAATTGTGCTAAAGAAGCACCAATGCCACTAAATATATGTTTTAGCATCCACCCTGTGTTCAGTGCATTATTTCATTAATCTTAAGGTTTCACGCCCTTTTCACTTCTTTTTTGTTTGTGTTATATTTTTTTGCGGGCAAACTCGTCCTTCTTGCAGCCTTATTGTTTCATAGCTTCCCTGAGGTCGTGGCCCATGTCCATCAGGTATTGAGTTTTCTCTGACTGCTAAAGTCTGTGACATTGGAGTTTGAAAATACAGTCATAGAGAAGATTCTAGATATGTACGAAATATGACTGGTATTGCATTGCACAAAAAAAAATCCTTGCTGATTGTTTTCTACTTGCTGCTAGCATTAGGATGTTTTGTTTGATGAGGTGAAATGACTCTTTGTTGTAATTTATCATACGATGTTTCCTATATTCAGTTGCAAACACCTAAAATGACCTTTTTTTAGTCTTTAATTTCTATAGTTTTGGGTTGCTCTTAGCTCTATTCCTACATTATGACCTTGAATTAGTTCTGCCTACATATGCACCGTGACCCAGATGCCATCTTCTTGACAATTATAAGAGATAACACCAACGTGTGGATTTGAGTTGGACTTGGACAACTAGTTTTCTACTTCTGAAATTAGTAGTTTTAATTGGCCGTCATCGTCTTCATCTAGATACATATATTAGTTTTGGGAGGCATAATTTTGTAGATTTTATTAACTTTTCTATGTCACAGTAAGGTGTTGTACCTTCGGCACTCGTTTTTTTTTTTGGGTCAACCACCGGGAGAGAAAGAGAGCACGATGTTCTAACTCGTGACCTTAAGATTTAATAGCAGGACGGTAGGCCAACCGCTAACCTCTTAGTCATTGGTTAGTGACCGCTGAAACTGTATTAAAATTAGTCAGGCCACAGCTGTGTAACAACTGAAGGCAAGGCAGGCAGTTAAACAAAAGATCTAGTGCCTGCAATTCTCGTTTTTCACGGGCAAAACTTTTTCTCTTCCACGAAGCAGTGTTATTGAACCTAATATATTAATCTAATTTATTATGATCTTTAGATTAATTTAATATATTAATCTAATTTATTATGATATTTAGATTGACTGGAGAGCCTATTAAATATTAGAACTTAGTGTTGATTTAATGATTTTATTAAAATTATATCGTTATGTCAGTAAATTATATCAAATTTTTAAGGTCAAATAATATTATTATTGTGTTTAATACTTCGCCCACTTTTCACCTCACATTAGAAACATCCATGCCACGTCAGTAGATAGAATCCAATCCAACCAATCAAACCTATCCCGAGCAGATAACCCATTTCTCTATCCATCATCCTTGCCCTGCTATACATTATCTAAATCCCTGACCCCTCCACAAACACGAACCACACAAATCCCACCTCAGATTTCTACCTTACCCACGTATTAAACTCCATCCATCCTCTTTTTCTTCTCCATTTTCGGTTCACATATACTCTGAAGACACACTAGGCAGTACTAAACTTCTTCAATGGCTAGTGTCACCTCTGCTGCCGTTGCCATCCCATCGTTCACCGGACTTAAGGCTGCCTGTGCGACCACTTCAAGAGTTAGCAGCACCACCGCTAAGGTGGCTGCGTCTCCGGTCCCGAGGCTCGCCGTGAAGGCGTCACTGAAAGAAGTGGGTGCTGTTGTTGTTGCTACTGCAGCTAGTGCAATGCTTGCCAGCAATGCCATGGCCCTGGAGGTCTTGCTCGGTGCTGATGATGGATCTTTTCTTTTCATTCCAGCCAACTTTTCAGTGGCTTCTGGAGAGAAGATTGTGTTCAAGAACAACGCTGCTTTCCCTCACAATGTTGTGTTCGACGAGGACAAAGTTCCGGCCGGCGTCGATGCAGCGAAGATCTCCATGAGCGAGGAGGACCTCCTCAATGGACCAGGAGAGACCTACTCGGTGACCTTGACCGAAAAAGGCACTTATACTTTCTACTGTTCACCTCACGTGGGAGCAGGCATGAAGGGCGAAGTGACAGTCAACTAACGTTGTTTGTATGATGATTAAAAAAAAAAATAAAAATCTGAATGTTAGTCGTTTCATTTTTCTATTTGGTCCAGTTGNTGGCAAAACTTTTTCTCTTCCACGAAGCAATGTTATTGAACCTAATATATTAATCTAATTTATTATGACATTTAGATTGATTTAATATATTAATTTAATTTATTATAATATGTAGATTGACTGGAGAGCCTATTAAATATTAGAACTTAGTGTTGATCTAATGATTTTATTAAAATTACATCGTTATGTCAATAAATTAGATCAAATTTTTAGGTTCAAATAATATTGTTATTGTGTTTAATACTTCTCCCACTTTTCACCTCACATCAGAAACATCCATGCCACGTCAGTGGATAGAATCCAATCCAACCAATCAAACCTATCCCGAGCAGATAACCCATTTCTCTATCCATCGTCCTTGCCCTGCTATACATTATCTAAATCCCTGACCCCTCCACAAACACGAACCACACAAATCCCACCTCAGATTTCTACCTTACCCAAGTATTAAACTCCATCCATCCTCTTTTTCTTCTCCATTTTCGGTTCACATATACTCTGAAGACACACTAGGCAGTACTAAACTTCTTCAATGGCTAGTGTCACCTCTGCTGCCGTTGCCATCCCATCGTTCACCGGACTTAAGGCTGCCTGTGCGACCACTTCAAGAGTTAGCAGCACCACCGCTAAGGTGGCTGCGTCTCCGGTCCCGAGGCTCGCCGTGAAGGCGTCACTGAAAGAAGTGGGTGCTGTTGTTGTTGCTACTGCAGCTAGTGCAATGCTTGCCAGCAATGCCATGGCCCTGGAGGTCTTGCTCGGTGCTGATGATGGATCTTTTCTTTTCATTCCAGCCAACTTTTCAGTGGCTTCTGGAGAGAAGATTGTGTTCAAGAACAACGCTGCTTTCCCTCACAATGTTGTGTTCGACGAGGACAAAGTTCCGGCCGGCGTCGATGCAGCGAAGATCTCCATGAGCGAGGAGGACCTCCTCAATGGACCAGGAGAGACCTACTCGGTGACCTTGACCGAAAAAGGCACTTATACTTTCTACTGTTCACCTCACGTGGGAGCAGGCATGAAGGGCGAAGTGACAGTCAACTAACGTTGTTTGTATGATGATTAAAAAAAAAAATAAAAATCTGAATGTTAGTCGTTTCATTTTTCTATTTGGTCCAGTTGTTTTTGAATTTTGGAAGAGTTAAATATGGGTCTTACTGTTGGGATTGGAAAATAAATCGTTTATGAACTTTATAATTTCATTTTTGTGTAACATTGTTGTTATACTTGGTAGTGAAATATGAAAATGGAATGCTCATCATAAAGTTAAATATATATATATATTTATTCTAATAAAGAAGTAATGCAGTTTTCATTTATAATACAAAAACCTAATCTCATCTTTATGGAATGAATGTCTATTACCAAGAACGTATATTAGTCATTACCAAATATAAGAAAGTATTCTCAATTCTCAAACCATTTGCATATAGTAACACATCCAAATCCATTGAAACCAAAAGGCCTGATCCTTCACCATCCACGGCCTATCCATCCCACAGTACCGCTGTTATATGTGTTAAGTAAATTGTAATGCCTGTTTTTTTTTTCAACTGTCGGACGTGTTTACGTGTACTTTAATTAATTCTGTCTTCAATTCAATTAAAGGTAAGTCATTTACATTGAAATTAGGATATTCATAAAGAATAAATCTTTCATGACTTAACCTTAAATGATTGTCAATGTTCAAATTCAAAACGTTTAAATTTATAACTTGCATATGTAACCACTCGAGTTATCATTTGCGTTGATAAATTGTAATGTCTAAGTGTATGGTATGGTTTTATGCTCTCTTTAATGTTTGGTTTGTTTCACATGGAGTGTTTCCGCTACTATGTAAAGGATCATAAATGCAACTACATAATTTAGAAGAAAACTGAAAAATACACAGAAAGGAGAACTTGGAAGAATTTGCACTAGATTTATAATAGACATGCACATATTTCGCAAAGATGTTAGGAGAAATTATCAGAATTACTGTCTGCACATATTTAGTTATTTTTCTGTATTCTGTAAGTGATTTGTTATAAACCCGACATTAAATTTTATTAGTTGGGACATGTATCAAAACTTGAAGATAATATCTTTCATATACCTCAAAACGATTGATTTTTTTTCCTTCATTTATACTATTCTCGTAACAACCACGCCATCACCCAATCCACCACCTTTATCACCACACACATCCATCATTGCAACCACTACCACGACTTCCAGCACCACCTTTGCCATCATCCCACCTCCATCTCCACCATCATAAGTGCATTTACCATCTCTACCATTCATTGCCACCATTTGCCCTCGCCAATCCTTTGCAACCCTTTCTCTCTATATGAGTGGAGAATAGGGATGGCAGCGGATCGGAGAAAATGAGTATTTGTCCAAATTCATCCCGTTTGGATCGGGGATAGACTATATGTATTGGACGGTGGACGTATACGGAAATACCTTTATAAACCCGTGCAGGAATGATGGCGGGGATAAACTTACCTTTATTCCCGCCCTGTCCCGTCCCGTCCCTGTTACCCGTTATATATATATATAATCAAATAGGTAATATACACTACCATAGTTAATAAGTGCAAACATTAGCAACAATCTTTTACTTCATTGAACATTATGGATAATATCAGGCTTCTTATAATTAATAAGGAGTCCATACAAAATTAAAAAGAAAAAGAAAGCCAAAAAAATAGTTTTGGGGCTTCACAACAGAAATTAAATCCATTTGTACTTTTGGTATGACTTCCGTGGTGCAATTGCCATTCGAGCAACATGCACACAGCTATTCATCACAATTCTTTACTCCATTGGTCCTACTAGATAATTGACTTGTAGCCAGTTTAGATATCCATGACTGGTAATTGATTACGTGTCATCAATCTTCTAAGAAACAGATTATTGAAATAAAAATGCAAAAAAAATAGTAAGTTAAGAAACTAAAGTTCCAAGATTTATGACATTTCAGGATTTATATAAATATTTAACACACTGTAAGAGCTAAGAGCTTTCTTCAAGAATGATATTTTGATGATTTTTTGTCATATGAAATCAGATAAAAAAAAAACTGTTACAATTTTACGCTGATGCTGGTTTGTTGGCTCTATGTTGGTTTGGGTTTGGGTTTGGGTTTGTGCAGGTACGAGGGAAACGGGGACAAGGATTAAAAATTTATCCGCTGACGGGGATGAAGATAAAAATTATACCTGTTAACGGAAGTGAATCGAGGATGGACAAAATTTTTTTAAGGGGGTACAGGAATAAAAATTATACCCCCGCCCCCGCTTCGGTCTATTGAGATACCTAGCGGAGAGGAATGCTAAACCTTGAGAAAATGAATGCAACAAACCCGTAGAACTCTCCAAAAGGGACCGAGTCCACTTGGTATTACTCATTGGCCAGTAAGAGATATCTGCCCTGCTTTTGTTTTACTGGGCCTCACTTATTATTAGCCTGGGCGTAAAAGCCCAGCTAATTTCAAACTTTGTGGAACAGATAGAAGGGCCTCCACGACCCACTATAAACTGATGGCATTTTCTCTTTCCAATCAGAAGAATATGCTAATGGCGAAAAGGATTGAGATAAAAATCAACCCTAACGAGTGGATAATATGAGCCACAAACCTAACGAGTGGATATGATGTTTAGATCCACTCAGATCTCATCATAATTTCATTCCGCTTCCCATCTTCTCTGTTCATCTCTCATCTTCAAACATACTCTCTCTCTCTCTCTCTCTCCTTCCTTTAATTCTTACCCCCCTAATGGCAACTATCACAAACTTCTTGGCTAAACCACCTCCAAATCTTGCACCCATCACTAAAATTAATCCCCTTCAGTTCCATTTTCCCTCTCTTTCTTTACCCACTAAACCACCCAGCCACCTTGTAAAAAATTTGGAAACTAGACGTTCCCTCTTTATTCCAAAGGCCACAGCTGCCCCAGAGGTGAAAAAAGTCGATACTGATGAAAGAGTACAGAAAGTTCATAGCATAGATGAATTCGACGAAGCCCTTCGCGTGGCCAAAAACAAGCTTGTGGTAGTAGAATATGCAGCTAGCCACAGCTACCACAGCAGGAAAATCTACCCTTTCATGGTGGACCTTAGTCGGACATGTAACGACGTAAACTTTTTACTCGTTATGGGTGATGAATCCGAAAAGACCAAAGAACTTTGCAGGAGAGAGAAAATAGAGAAAGTCCCACATTTCAGCTTCTACAAAAGCATGGAAAAGATCCACGAAGAAGAAGGGATAGGCCCAGATCAGCTGGTCGGAGACGTATTGTACTACGGAGACAATCATTCAGCTGTGGTTCAGCTTCACTGCAGAGAGGATGTAGAGAAATTGATTGAAGAACACAAAATTGATCACAAGTTGATTGTTCTTGACGTGGGTTTGAAGCATTGTGGCCCGTGCGTTAAAGTGTACCCGACGGTGGTGAAGTTGTCGAAGCAGATGGCTGATTCGGTGGTGTTTGCGAGGATGAACGGCGACGAGAACGATAGTTGCATGGAGTTCTTGAAGGACATGAGCGTGGTTGAAGTTCCCACATTTTTGTTCATCAGAGATGGTGAAATATGTGGCAGGTATGTGGGTTCTGGTAAAGGAGAGCTCATAGGGGAGATTCTTAGATACCAAGGAGTTCGTGTTACCTAAATTTACGAAGGAAAAGCAATATGGGTTTTATGACCCAAAAGTGAAAAGGAAAATGTTTATTAGTCTCGCATTAGTGTTTATTTATTAATGGGATGGCTGCGATGTTAATTTGATTATGGATCTATAATTTTTTATATCATTTTCCATCTTGAATGTATGATTCAAGTTCATCACAATCAATTACAACTCCTTCAAGTTAATGGCCAGATATTATCTTCAATATACTTGATCACAAAAAAAAAACTTTCAACGATTAGGGGTGTATACCCAATTTATACCAAACTCGATTAATCTCTTCTCTGATCTAGTTAAAAATAGGTCATTCACACTGAGATTAAGGTACTCATAAAAAATTTATTTCTCATGGTTCAGTTAAAAAGAATTATTGAAATTCGACTTTAAAATGTCTGAATTTACAACTTACTCTAATTATTACTAAAACTATTTTGGGGTTGATCTCAATATCACTTTAGGTTAGACAACGAATCAGGAATTTAAAAAACCAATTCTTTATCTGATAGTTAACCAGCAAATTTTTGAACATGTAAAAGGATAAAATTAGGAGCATACGGAGTAAACTTCTCAAATCGCATCACAAGGATGATGTGTTCAACCTCAAGGGTGATTCAATCCCTTTTCATACTCATGTGTTTAACCTCAAGGGTGATTCAATCTCTTTTCATACGAGGGTTAGTCATTTTTATCTTTTTAGAGACATTTTTTAATTTAATTCAAGTTACAGTGATCAATGGTTAAGCTGGAAAGAATAATTAATACAAACTTGTACACGTTGTAATAAAAAATAAATAAATAAANTTGTGATCAATGGTTAAGCTCGAAAGAATAATTAATACAAACTTGTACACGTTGTAATAAAAAATACATAAATAAAAGGTTTATTCACTGAACCTATAAGAGTGTTTATATAAGTTGAGTGGACCCATATCTCATCCCTTTTATTTGGGGAGGGGGTAATAAGGGGAAACTTCGTGTAAATTTGAGTATTCTTAAAGAGGGTATTTATCCCCTTTTTTTTTTATGAAAAAAATAGTGGGTAAAGAAAAGCGTCCAGCGACCACCCTGATAGGCCCTCATCGGTGGAATCATAAAGCCTCTTACCACGCCTAAAATACCTCTCGGGACCAGACCAAGTTAGGCTAGCATAGCGGTCAACTACCAAGTCTCAATGAGAATTCTAAAACTCGAACTCCCAACTTTAAAGTGGAGAATAAAGTCGGTTTCCCACTAAACCACCCTACTTCGTAATATTTATCCTATTTGCATGGCTTTTAGCTTGTCTTAGATCACAATGGCATAACAGTAAAGAAACTGCAATCAGAATTAATTCTACCTTACATCCAGTTTTGCAAGTTGATCGACACACAATACAAACCTCAAATTTTACATCCCAAACAATTGGAAGATGGGTTTTTCTTTTTGGTTGGGGGCGGGGAGACAAAAGGAAATATTATTTGCGTTTAATTTGGATACTTTAATTTGAAGATCAAATTCATTATAAATTATTGCTGTTAGATCGAAATTGAGTCTCATCACACACTTGAATTCAATTTTAATATAAATATTACAATAAATTAAATACTTAAATTGGATGACTATGACGTTTCAACTCAACTTAATCATTTGTGGTCGGCTAGCCAATGTTTACAAAATTGATAAATTTGACCATTCTGGGAGTTGCCGACTAGATAATTTTAAGTCAAATGACAATTAATTTAAAAAGAAGATCGCAAAAATTAAAGGTAGAAATTGCATTTTATATCTCAAAAGATCTACATAAATTTATTTTATACCTTTAAAAATTAAAATTTTCACATTACCCCTTGAATATATTAAAAGTATTGTAATGTGACACTTTTGTTAATTTTTTGTTATTTATTCTGTCAAAAAATCTCATTGACATTGATGAAATGACTAACATAAGTTAAAAGAAGGGTCATATTGTAATAATTTTAATATATTTAAATTATATAATGTGAGAAATATAATCTTTGAAAATAAAAAAATAAAATTTTAAAATCTTTTAAGGTACAAAGTGTAATTCAACCAAAAATAAAACGAAAGATGAAGCTGCATGCTCTTGATTTTGTCAAACTTTCAAGGGTGGCAGGCTGGCAGGTGGCTGAACAGCGACTGCGGCATTCTTAAACCAGCGAACACCAAACTTGTAGGTGAAGTGAATTACAATGTTTCCTATTATTGATCATTTTTCTAAAGACTATTATTATTTTATTGAGAAAATTTTACTCACACTCCTTCTAGTTTATTATATTTTTAAGAATATCTTTTTATTATCAAAAATATCACTGACACCTCTTTTAATTTATATTTAAACGTCACTGACACGTGTTCATCTAAAATACTAAATATGTCCCTACATAAATTTCAAACAATCTTTCTACATAAAATTTAATTAAAATTTAATTTTCTATGTATTAAAATTCAAGCTGATTAAAATTTATTTTTCTACATATTAAAATTTGAGTCAATTAAAATTCGATTCAAACTGATTAAATTTTAATTTTTTTATATATTAAAATTCAAACCGATTTGAACTTTACTTGAAGCATCGATTAAAATTCGTTTTTAGGCTATTAAAATTTATATTTTTTTACTTATTAAAATTTTTACTAAATAAAATTCGATTTAAATTAATTAAAATTTATTTTTTAAGTATTAAAATTTACATTTTATTATTTATCAAATTAAAATTCAATGCGAGTTGATTAAAATTTGATTTAAACTGATTTTAATCTACTCGAATAGAATTTTAATGGACTCGACTTTTAATACGTAAAAGGTAAATTTTAAGTAACTCGAATCAAATTTTATTCAGTACTAATTTTAATACCTACAAAAATTTTAAAAATAGAGAGGGTCTCATTGAAAATATGTCTATGTAGATAGTATGGATAAAGTTTTTTTCTCAAATATATCATAGAGAATTTAGTAAAATTACATTATAATTAACACTTTTAATCTAACAGGAGTGTCAACGAAGATTCAAAAAATATAAGAGATGTCTATAAAGATATGATACCAACGGTCTTTGGTCTAATGATATTACTTACTTTACGAAGATTTTGTCTTCTTGAGGTTTAGGATTCAAGTTTCCCTGTCCCTTCCCTCTCCCAAAAAAAAAAATTATATATATATATAAAGATATGATAAACTAAAAGAAACCTGGCTAAAATTTTTCCTATTTCATTTGAATTTCTTGTTTGACTCAAACACTTGCACAGAAAAAATCNTTCTTCCTATATATATATATATATGTCTCTAATGATCACTCTTAAATATACATAGAGGGAGGATCACAACAAGAACAATAGAACAAATATATAACAAGCTTTGTTTTATAGACCTTGTCAAGCCGGCGAGTGAGAGAAAGGGAGAGAGAGGGGCTGATGGTTTGGTCAAAGGAGAGGATATGACCGAGCAAAACCTTAGCAGCTGTCCACCAGTATTTAATATTACAGCTTGGTTTGAGCATATTTTCGTCATTATCGGAACCTAACCTTAATTAAATTTGGATTCATAGTCTAAAACTCCGGGCTAAATCAACTGCGTAATCAGGCCAGATAACTAATAAAATATGCTTAGTCACTTATTTTTATCTTGTAACACTTGTGTGGAATATCACTTTATAACTTAGTTCTAAGCTCCTGAATCGACCAAATTTTGATTTGAATCTTATTTGAATTTAAAATTGATTATATATATTTATAATTTTTATTGATTATCCATATAGTTCACATAATTGAGTTTGATAATATAAATATATGCCCGATCATAATTCAATTTAAGTTATATGGGTGTAAATATATGAATAAATGATGAAATTAACTGACTACTTTAATGACTTCAAATTCAACCTTTACATAACATGTTGAAATTCAACTCATTGAACTTTTGAGGGATATTTTAAGTGAAAATAAAGACGAGTCGTAAATTTAGATATTTTAAGTTCGAATTTTAATAATTTTTCTGAGTTAGACTATGAAAAATTTATTCTTGATGAATACCCTAGTCCCAATGTGGATGGTCTACTTTTGACTGAATCAAAGAGAAAAATTTGTTGAGATGTGCATAAATTAATTCAGACATCCCTGACTGTTGAATCAAAAAAATAAGAAATTCAACTCATTGATTTTTTTTTTTTTTTTTTATCAAAACAGATTGTTAAAGCAAATATCCAGTGCTTAATAAATCTAGATCTAGATTGAAAAACGAAAATAATTTATGAGATAATCGAATTGAATTTGGGGACAAATTCTTAGTCGGATATAGAATTACTAGTTATAACCCGTGCCTGAAGGCATGATAAAATATAAAATTCGAGCGTCCAAAAAATCGATCTTATTATATTATTTTTTAAAACAAATATATTAATTATAAATTAATCAAATATTAAATGATTAAATATATAATAGAAATGAGTGATGTGATATTTTTAGGAAAAAAATATATAAATGATTAAACATATGATAGAAATAAGTGATGCGATTTGACGTTTGAGTCTGATAAAGGGATGATGAGTGAGATAAGTGATTGATGATGATTTTAAGAGATAAAATATGATTGAGATAAAATTTAAATACACTCCTTTATTATTATATAGATAGAGATTAGAATCCATAGNGGGATGATGAGTGAGATAAGTGATTGATGATGATTTTAAGAGATAAAATATGATTGAGATAAAATTTAAATACACTCCTTTATTATTATATAGATAGAGATTAGAATCCATAGTTGAATTACGGTCCATTGAGAAGCCTAAGCCTGGTAGGTTAATGGTGACTGACATCCAACCAATTTTGGCAGGTGGAGGATAAGATTATTTGACAAAATGATTAAGACGATGAGTAAGTTTGTGTCAATTTTAATACTGTCACATGTCTAATGACTTGTACGATTGGACAACGGTATTAAAAATCGTAGATTACGACTTCAGAAATAGCCGACATTGCAAGTATTCGTATTTTTCGTACATACAACTTAATGTTGAATTGTAAGAGGTGGGAACGACGCATCATTTGCCACACTTGTTGCTAAAATGAAAGGTCGGAAATTTTTATTTTTTATTTTTGATATCCCAACTGTATTAGTAAAGCGTCCAATTATTTTCCATACCGGATTAATGCTTGACCTTGTGCAAAATTATTTCTCAAAAAAAAAAAAAATTATGAGTGGTGGCCCTATAGGGCCACGGT